CACCACATGCTTTTACGTAGGCGCACTTCGAGCGACGCCTACAAGAGTAATTAAGTGAATCAATTTCTCACTTTCCGCGTTTCCTTGAATTGCTACATTATGAATAAACCGTTAGTAACTTCACTAAAAATAAATCAAATGGAAATTAAATTAAATTAAATTAAATCGATAAATAATCAAGAATCCTCCCCAGTAGAGTCGCCAAATTGTAGGCGTCGTTTGAAGTGCGCCTACGTTAAAGCATGTGTGAATATGATTGGCACTCTTAGGAAGTAGGAATTGACATATACGATTAGGGACAAGGAAAGTAGGGAGCCGCCAACAAGTTTTTAAGGAACTTGTAAACCGTTCACGGATCATAAAAGGCAACCACGATTAAGGGACAACAATAGGAAACAACGATTGACCCGTGAAGGTTACACCCATTCATAATCCATGAGATTACTAACTCCATATGGTTCGGAACCACGAAAGGAGGATCAGGGACGATGGTACGAAGTGAGTCATGGAGTCACATTCGCCCGTATTGGCCTCTACTCGATTATGATAGTGAAAAGTGATTCTTGCGATCTCAAAGGCATACAAACAAAGATTCAATTTGCTCCAAACTATTTTTATGCTAAATTGATTGAATATTAATGCAACACATAATTCTAAAACATTGTGATCACTTGATTAAACAACAAGATTAAAAAGGATCCTGAACCGATTGTCCAAATTATCTTATTAGGCGTGATTTTCAATTACATATTCCCTTTAAAACATGCAATGTGGTGATCATAAAAAATATAATAGAATAAATATTAATATTAGAAGCAATTTAACAATAAATTGTTAGTCAAATCAAATATAAAATAACCTAATCATGATATTAGCAATAAGAAATAATAATAAGTAATTAAATTGGTTAATTACTCACAATCCGCGCGTTCCTTTAAATTTCTACATCATGAATAAATTGTTAGTAACTTCAATAAATAATAAATCAAATGGAAATTAAATTAAATAGATGAAATTAGTGTTAATTTGGTCCAAACCCTCAGATTAAGTATAAACTCCTTGGAGTGCTTAGGGGAATTATTATGGAAGAATAAGGAGGCTAGAAATTAGGTTAAAGAGGGAGAAGAGAATGATTTTTGGTGTAAGGTGAGAGGGAATGATTATTGGTGCCCCGAACTGCAGAAAGGGGGGTCCTATTTATAGGGAAAATGAGCAGAGGGAACACGCGAAACCCTAAAAAATAACATCGTGTCACGGTAGAGAACACCGTGACATGGTGCCAGGCACCGTCAGACGGGGGAAAATCCCGTGACGCGGTGGAAACTGGAGTGACGCGGGAAATATTTGACTTACGGGAAGTGAAAACGCGTGAAGGATTTACGCGGAAAAGACACGAGAAAATTCCGTGACACGGCACACGTACCGTGATACGGCAGGGTCCACCGTGGCACAGTACAGTATACCATGTCACAGTATGGGAAAATGCGGAAATTACACGGAAAAAGCACCCTGACACGGTGGGAAATACCGTGTCACGACAGCAGGTACCGTGTCACGGCAACAGGTACCGTGCCATGGTGGAATTTGACGCGAAAGAGCTTAAAAAATGGCACCGTGACACGATGTACAGTACTGTGTCATGGCACCAGGCACCGTCAAATGGGGGAAGGCACCGTCAAACGGGGCAAACTCCCGTGACACGGTGCTTTTGCACTGTGCGCGGTGATTCCAGTTTTTTACCCGTTTTTAAAATCATCATAACTTTTGATCCGTAACTAGGAATAAGGCATATAATATATCATTGGAAAGATTATAAAGTCTAATTTCCAACTCAATTATAATGAGTTCAAATTATTTGTAGATTTTAAGAAATGGCCGTTTTAGTGGAAGGGTGTCGGTTTTAGGCCAAGTTTAGTGTTTTGCTCATATCTTTTTCGTTATAGCTCAGAATTGGGCTTATGATATGTGGTTGGAAATATTATTTAAAGGCCTATCCAAAAAAATAATAATTGGATCAAAATTGTATATCCATAAAATCAGTTTCTCTCAGTTTTGCGATGTGGACACGAAAAGTGGAAAATAGGTTATGGTTTAGGGAAATGAGCTAGAAATTGGATTGGTTCATAAAATATATTGGATAGAACATGGATTTAAGAACTCCAAAGATTAAATACTCAAACCGACCAATAATGACGTTGAAAGGTGTTCATCAACGGGTTTGGTTTTGGGGAGACATGTTTAGGTGTCTACAGAAGCCCCCACTTTGACTGAGTTTGTAGAAACGTCAGATTCGAAAACGATATTCAAAGTAGTCGACAGGGACGGAGAATGATTTAATACATTTTGCGATCCTAAATCACTCTGTATACGCCGATACCTGCAGAAAAATGTTAGTTCTACAGATAAAAGAGTAAAGGGATAGAATGCTTATCTAACACCAGTGTATCGGTGGCAAATGAGCTTGGTAGCTTCCTATGCTTGAAGGAATCCACCGAATGACGTTCTGTTGAAATACTTTCCATGCCTGAGGAATTTCGACTGACAAGTTTGGTAGCTTTCTATGCTTGAAGAAATCTACCAGATGATACTTTCCATGCTTGAGGAAAGCCGACATATGAATTTGGCGGTTTTCTATGCTTGAAGAAATCCACCGGATAATACTTTCCATGCTTGAGGAAAGTCGACAGATGATGAGATTACAAGTCTCTGTGTATCGAGAACCCTGCGCCGTGAAATGATGGTGGTTCGATTGTCCCCGAACGTGGGCTGTAGTTGGTTCGCTTGTCCCCGAACGTGGGCTGTAGATGATCTGCTTGTCCCCAGATGTGGGCGGTAGATGGTCCGCTTGTCCCCGGATGTGGGATGTAAATGGTTCACTTGTCCCCGAACGTGGGCTGTAGATGGTCCGCTTGTCCCCCGACGTGGGCTGGTTGTAAATGGTCCGCTTGTCCCCGGACGTGGACTGTAGATGGTCCGCTTGTCCTCGGACGTGGGCTGTAGATGATCCGCTTGTCCCCGGACGTGGGTTGTAGATGGTCCGCTTGTCCCTGGACGTGGGCTGTAATTGAGACCTGCAAAATAAAATCTGCTAAGGGACTCGTATAGACTATGATTAACTTGACCAACTAACTTGACCAAGTTTGACTTGACACGAGATGACATGACATGAGTATGACTTGTGATTGTGTGTGTATAGTTTGAGTGTGTGTGTGCAGACACAAGCAACCGAAAATGCAAAAGCAAAAATTTTCCATCATTTTTGTCATGAGACGAGTGGAGGGTGCCGACTTTCTCCCGAAAAAGAAAGACGTGAGAAATGAAATTTTATTTTCGAACTTCCCTCGATAAAAAATTTGAATAAGTTTTTGAACTTCCCCAAAATAAAATAACGAAAAAGGGAAGAAGTTTTGAACTTCCTCCTTGAGCAAGACGAAATGAATCGTATGGATTGAATTGCTTGTTCTGAAAATAATGTATGCATGATGCATGTTCTTAGGCCAGGAGGCTAAGGACAATTACATCATGTGACACGATAGATGAATGAACTTAAGTCATGGAGCTAAGCATCATATATGGTGTAAATAAGCGATTTTGAACATCACTTAGGTCTGGAAGCTAAGCACGTATTTAGATGAAGTGATTATGAACGTTGCTTAGGTCAAGGAGCTAAGAACGATATGCTTTGTATTATTACAAATCATTGATATATAAATGTTATTCAGCACATTATGCGATGCATGAAACAATGAATATTGCTCAGGTCAAGAGGCTAAGCAAGTATACAACGTTTCTTCTGATGAATGTTGTCTTGAAAGATGATGAAGCATGCGCGGTAGGGAAACAATATTTCATGATAAAGGGTTCCTAAGGGAAAGATGATATGGATATGTATGTGTGAAAAAAGTGTGTGAAAGTGATACTAAGGTGAGGCTGCAAAGGTTATGGTGATGGAAATATATGTGTGAAGAGTCAAAGATGATGACTCTTTAGGCTTGGTAAGCTAATGTGATGTGGGTTCAAGCCTCCAAGTCTAGCTCTAAATGGGTAGGGATATAGAGATAAGCATTGGATATTTTTTGACTCGATCATGCATAGATATGAATATGAATGTGGCTGCACCTCAATGTGAGGTTGCCTACGTATTCGTTAGGAATCAGGCCAAACGTAGCTCTAACCGAACTTTGCACAAGTGTATGTACACCTCAAAGAGGTCTTTCAAGGGTTGTAGTGTGGTTAAGTTGATGGTTTAAGGAAGAAAGGGGTAAAAGGCTCAAGACCCGAGAGAAGCCCCCAAGATGTGTAATTGTGAATTTGAAAATTTTGAATTTTGCAAGTTTATTTTCAACATTTTTTTTTTGCTTTGAATTTTTTTTTCATTCTTTTGAATCAATGTAGGCAATCTCAGATCATGCGGTCCATCACTCACTTAGCATTCATGTTTCTCAGGCACGGTACCAAGCACTCGATAAGAGACGCAATTCGAGACGTGTTCGTATCAAAGACATTGGAACACTTGCCTTTAGACATTGTTTTATTGTTACCTTGCTGCCTTTTTTTTTACATGCTTTTGAATGTTATGCAATTACACATCTTCCAATCCCAGGGTTAAGTGAATGTGAGTTGAAGAAATGAAGGCCAAATATTAGACGAGGCTCAAAATGGTTGATGAAGAAATGAAATGTCACTAGTGGAAAAAAGGTCATCCGTAACGGGCAAAAACTGCCCATCCGTAACGGGCAGCGTCCGTTACGTATGCGGCCGTTACGGATGGCCTTTGTTATTTGTAACGGGCACCTAAAAAGCCCGTTACGAATAGTAGGTTATTCGTAACGGGCACCTGAAAAGCCCGTTACGAATAGTAGGTTATTCGTAACGGGCTTTTCAAGTGCTCGTTACAAATAACCCCGTTATCCGTAACGGGACATGGTTTGCTCGTTATGAATACTGTATAATCAAATTTTAAAAAAAAATTCTAGCAAAATGCTGGATTTTGCACACCATTTTAATTTTTGTTACAACATCAAAATCTCCTAATCTCATCCATATTACAACATCAAAATCTCCTAAGCTCATCCATATTAATATTACTGTTTTTAAGCTATAACCAAAATCACTACCTACGCTAGCAAAAAACACACAAGCTAGCCAACACAAGAACAAATTAAAATGGCAGCTAGATTAAACTGAGTATCATATTTAGACGGCAGAAACAATCATCTGCACTTGTGATGCTGTTGGCTTCACCGGGTCCTTCACGGGCTTCCCCTCCTTCGGTGTAGACCCATAGTAGCAAGCGTAAAAGATCAGTTGTGCTACGGCAAGTATGGCTCCAACCCCATTGCCAATCTGCGCGCAACAAAGAAACAAAGGATTAGGATACAAATTACAAGCATTGTAACGCTTACATTGAGAATCACTAGATGAAATGAGGTATAATTGATTACTAGAATGTAAGGATCAAATCTAATGAAGGTGTATGCACTCTAAATAACTCCATTAGACAAACCAGCAATGAAAGAGTCAATGGCATGAATTCAACACTCTTTGTTTTTATGACCTTGTACTGTTTGTGCCAAACAAACATTTTTTCATAATTCAGTACATGATATGCGTGTAACAACTTGTAATTAACATCAATGTTACAAAGCTAACATCGAAAAATACTAGTACAGATGCAAAATTCATACCATAACAGTGAGAGGTGCACCATAGAGAATGATCCCAAAGACGTCACAAAAGATCCCAACAAAGGTTGACCTCGACGTATGAGTGTGGAACACAAGGAGTGTGATACAGATCAAGGCAGCCAAAAACACAACTTCCGCAAGATAGTACATGCACATTGATTTCTGAATTACAATCACATAAACCAGTTATAATCATTCCACAACAAAGAATATGACTAAAAATTTAGGGGATTTAATTTTCCTCAATACTTACCCTCTTCTAATTGTTAGCATTTCTCAGTTATACTATGTTGTAGCAAATGTACATAGCAAATGTAGCAAACCAGATGGTTAATAAGTTCTAATATGTTTAAATAATAATACATCTGTACTCTTGTCGGTGAAAATTTTCAACCTTATGATTCTTTTGTATAATGAATATAATGACAAATTGGTCTCCAAAAAATTAACCGATAATTTCAAAAATTTTGAACATATTATCTTTGGGTTCTTCCTTTGCAGGCAGCACAGAAAATGACCCAAATAGACCTGAAAGACGCTCCAGAGTAGTCTCTGAGGTGGACCTTTTGAAAGACTAAAATAAAAAGGAAAGAATGATAAGCTGGAGCAATTAATTTTCTTCATGCATACAATTAGGGTTTGAAAAAGGAAGCATAACTACTAGAAGACTAACCAGCAGGTCCTGAGAGTAAAATAGCTCGGCTTTCCTCAAATAGAAATGAGCAGCACTTGTTAACAGAACCCTTGTCTGCTCACTGACAAATAACATTAAGGCATCCAAGATTACTAACGCAAACAAGATTCATCTCTGAGCAAGGTATGAGAATTTACATTTATGATGATGAAACTCCAAGTGACTTGCAAAATTTCCTTTCATTACCTAACCACCTAAACTTTCATTGAAGTAATAGATGGTCTTACCAACAACCAGTGAGACTAAGGACATATAATCTGCCATTTTAAAAGTATATGCTAGGCATTCTCTGAAGCAACATACGAAGTGGTATTTATATTGATGTTCATCCACATAATATATAAAAATATGAAAAAGAGAATCCCCATAATTTCCTTCTGCTTGACATTCTATATATATATATATATATATATATATTGAGGAATTCTTGATATATTGTTCATTCTTCAAATCCTTTTTTTAAGCAAAAAAAGCATAATTAAATTAAAAACTTCAAAAAAGTGATGCATATATCCTGTGCAAAGATAGTACCCATAGCCACATTGATCCAACTCCCCTAGCTAAAGATTTTGTACTTCGTATGATATATTATAATACCCTTCATAATAATCATATATTGGGCTATTTAAAAATTATCCATGGAGTAAAATATATTGGAAATTACTACGGAGTATATAGTATTTGATATACTCCATCAGATTCTTTTTTAATGTTCAAATTTTCAATATCATTAAGCATTAATCACTATTACCTCTAATGTATTAGTAAGAAAATTTTTAAGAAAATTGATATTTTTAATGCACTTACTGAAACGATTCAAACAATCTATCAAAAAAAGAAACGATTCAAACAAGAATCTACAAGATTATGCTTCTTCTTATAAAAAAATATAACTAAATAAGAACATCAAAAAGAAACAGCAGGAATGTATTCTGTATGATATATTGGATCAAAACAGTAAATGCACAAAATCATAACAAATTGCATCAAAACAGAAAATATAGATCTAGGTAATTTTAAAATGAGAATCAGAAATTTTATATCTAACATAATTCAAATAAAAAATAAAACTAAAGTTGAAAAATCAGAAATCACTCAAATTAGAGAGCTAAAAAAATTGAGGAGATTAAAATACAAGATGAAGATAGAATTGGAATAAAATCAAAAACTTTAGATCTAAAAAAAGACAATAATCATTCCTGAATCTTCAAAAATTCAGCACAAAATATAAAAAAAAATCCAGTACCCAGACACTTAAATCAATTAATAACAACATAAATTTCAAAAAATACAGTTGAATCAACTCAGACAATCATCGTTTACCACATTCAAATTGATAAATCTTCCCACATTCAAATTGATAAATCTTCCAACTTAGTATTCGATGATTACAAAGAGAAAAATCTTACCTAGCATTGGTTCGTTCAACGATTTAGATCTAAAGAGGAAGAAGCCTATGGGCTTGGTTGTTCTCAATGTCGCCACAATCGCCGCTAACCGGGTTCGGACCCTGGTCGAACCGCAGTGGGTTTTCGAGCAAGAGTTCCGTCACCGCCGGTTACACCTCCGACCAAAAACGACGCCGCTTGAGAACTCTTGTAAGAAGCCGCCGGTCAAGTTGCTCGTCTCAAGATGAACGCAATCGCTGCTCGTTGCTCCTCGAAATGAGAGAAAGAGGTGAATGACGGGGAGGGGAGGAGAGGAGAGAGAGAGAGAGAGGGGGGGAGTGAGGGACTAATGAGAGAGAAAGAGGTGAAACCCTAAAAAGCCAAGTATTAGGCTCTCCTCTCATCAGTTGGGCCAAGTTTGGTCATTTATGTGTAATATAATATTCGTAACGGGCAAAATAGTGTCCGTTACGAATACTTATTTATTCGTAACGGGCACTAATTTTCCCGTTACGAATACATACGTATTCGTAACGGACACTATTTCGCTCGTTACGAATATCTTAATTGTAACGGGCAAAGCTTTGCCCGTTACAAATAGCCTGTTACGAATGAGATTTTTTCCACTAGTGTGTGATTGAATGGTTAACAGGGAATGACATGGTTGCAAAGGTGCCTCAAGTCATTGGTGTACCTTAGGTTTAGTTCGGTAATTGATTTTTTTTTATTATTTTTTTTTTGAGAATGAATGAATGAATGAAAAATTCTATGATCGAGATGTAAAGGAAATTTGCTCATTTTATTAATGGAAAAGGTGAACGAAACACATGAAACATATAAAAATTTAAAATGGAAAACCTATGCTAGACATGAATGGGGGAATGGAGATGAATGATAAAGAAAGAAATCATGAAATCTTGCACGAAGGATCTGCTGTGCGCCTTGTGTTCATTACTTCTTGCCGCCTGGAGGGACATGAAGTTTGTTTGCATCCACCAAGTCTTGAATGACGTCCTTCAAATTCCAGCATTGCTCCGTAGTGTGGCCCCTTCCTTGATGGTACTTGCAATGGGCATTGGGATTCCATTTGGTGCTCCTTTCTTCAGGTTTTGGCTCTGGAAATGGCCCAATAGGTATGATCAAGCCTTGACCGTAACACTTCATTGAGATCAACTTGGCTTATATTGTGGTAGTATTTTCGTGCTTAGAAGACGAAGAAGAAGGATGGTCGTTCTTCTTGTTTTTCCAAGTGTTATTATTGTTACTACCAGCAGTCTTTATTGCTCATCCTCGACATTGATGCCGATGTCATATACAGCTTCGAAAGTGTTCAGTGGAAGAAATTTGAGATGTTCCCTATATTTATGAGTCGGATTTTGGATAAAGAGGCGAACCATCTCTCTTTCTTTAGGAGGATCTACCAAGAGTGAAGCTGTTTCCCTCCACCTGTTCAGGTAAGCGGTGAAGCCTTCATTCTCTTTCTGTTTGAGAATGGAAAGTTCACGTTCAAAAGTTTTAGTTTGAATGTTACACTTGTAACGATTCATGAAACTGTCGGTGACATCTTGCCAAGTCGTAGTATGCTTGGCATCTAAGGAATAAAACCATTGTTGGCAAGCATGTTCTAAGGAGAGAGGGAACACCGTAGGGAAGAGTGTTACGTCCAATCCCTAGCTTAAGAGCCATGGTTGCAGATAACGCCTTCAAATGGAATATTGGATTGTCAGTAGACTTGAACTTTGGAACATCAGCAGTGGAGAACTTTTCAGGGAGTTTGTCCTTCACATCCAAAGGAGTGGGAGGCCGTTCCACATAAGTGAAATCCTCATAAATCTTACTCATTTGTTCCTTCAGTTTGTCAAGGGTGGAAACAGTGACCTTGTTTTGTTCCATGGTAGTGACCCTAGTGGTAAGGGTTTGCATCATGGCAGACAGTGCCTCGATGGATTTATTGATGTTCTCAATATCTTCTTTAGTGGCCATTGAAAGGTGATAAGTAATGGAGATGGCAAAGTTCTCTTTAAACGCCTATTAGATCTGAGAGATTGTTGCGGTAATGACTCGAACCGTATTAATCTACCCCTGTTCCTTGACCAAGTACTGTGAAATAAAATGATTCACTTAATTGTTTGACTCATTGCTCATAGGAAAGGAAGGAAAAAAATAGACATTTGAAAACAGGTGAGAAAACTCCACTCATTTTTTTATTATGACGAAAAAAGGGTGCATGAACCTAATACACGATCATAAACGACCTGGTGCACGACTCAAGTCGAAACATAAAAAAAGTGTGTGGACTATACTTGACTCGTGAGTGACTAAGTGATGTTATAAGACTCGTGTTATGATCGTATGGCTAGACATGTGAACAATAACCAAAATGACTGACGCGAGGACCAAATTAACACGAAAGACTAAAAAAAAAGAGCTGAATGGACTTATTTCAAGGGCATCGTGACACGGAAAACTGTACCGTGTCACGGTACAAGCTGCCGTGACGCGGTGGTTTTTTTTTTTTTGCTGGAATTCCACTGTGCCACGGTGGAAACTGCCGTGACACGGTGAACTTTCCCGTGGTACGGGATTTTTTTTTTGCTAGAAATCCACCGTGCCACGTTGGAAATTGCCGTGACACGGTTTAATTTACCGTGACACGGTGGATGCTGACGTGGCACGGGATTTTTTTTCTTTTTTTTTGGGAAATCCACCGTGCCACGGTGGAAACTGCCGTGACACGGTGGATGATGACGTGGCACGAGAATTTTTTTTTTTTTTAGTTTGCACTAATTACTAAGTGAGTACGGTCCATTGGCAATCGTTATTCATAAAATAATCCACCATAGACAGAGAAAGATCGTTAGGGTTAGGATCAAAACAACCAAACATAAAACACGTAGGCACAATGATGCAAAGAATAGTTCGCAACCTAAGTTCAAGTTCTATGTTCGACTATGGTCAGGTTTATTTGGTGTCAATAAGGTACCATGGTTAAGAGTTTGGACGCGTCAGCAAGGCAGCCTCCCTTAAGGGTGTATGCCAACGGGCGGCTCCGCGAGTTCGTGTTGAAATCGAACTCAACTCCATGGTTTGGGTGGATTTAATAACTCGGATGAACCCTTATTGCCATGAGCGTTTTTGGGTTGATAGAGCTTAAATCCCCCGGGGTTAAGATGCATGTAGAACACACACGTTTTTTCAGAAAAATCGAAGGAAGTTGACCGTGAGAAGATAAAACAAGCCACCGAACTGATTTTAGGACTGCCGTGACACGGAAGAGAGCACCGTGCCACGGTGCTGCGCACCGTAACACGGCAGATTCTGCCGTGGCACGGCAGTCAGATAATCTGACTGGTGCCCTGTTTTCCTTCGTACGCAATCAAGTTATTCAATTTTTCCTACGGGACAAACCTAAATACGACGTTAAAACGTCTAAGCTTATGCAACAATGCCAAATTACTCACAGGAATATTTTTCAAGAATCTTTCACGTCTCATCCACTCATCTTAATTACATACCGATCACTCAAATCGATAAATAACCAAGAATCCTCCCTAGTGGAGTCGCCAAATTGTAGGCGTCGTTTGAAGTGCGCCTATGTTAAAGCATGTGTGAATATGCTTGGCACTCTTAGGAAGTAGGAATTGAAATATACGATTAGGGACAAGGAAAGTAGGGAGCCGCCAACAAATTTTTAAGGAACTTGTAAACCGTTCACGGATCATAAAAGGCAACCACGATTAAGGGACAACGATAGGCAACAACGATTGACCCTTGAAGGTTACACCCCATTCATAATCCATGAGATTACTAACTCCATATGGTTCGTAACCACGAAAGGAGGATCGGGGATGATGGTACGAAGTGAGTCATGGAGTCACATTCGCCCGTATTGGCCTCTACTCGATTCTATAGTGAAAAGTGATTCCTGCGATCTCAAAGGCATGCAAACAAAGATTGAATTTGCTCCAAAATATTTTTATGCTAAATTGATTGAATATTAATGCAACACATAATTCTAAAACATTTTGATCACTTGATTAAACAACAAGATTAAAAAAGATCCTAAACCGATTGTCCAAATTATCTTATTAGGCGTGATTTTCAATTATATATTCCCTTTAAAACATGCAATGTGGTGATCATAAAAAATATAATAGAATAAACATTAATATTGGAAGCAATTTAACAATAAATTGTTAGTCAAATCAAATATAAAATAACCTAATCATGATATTAGCAATAAGAAATAATAATAAGTAATTAAATTGGTTAATTACGCACATTCCGCGCTGTAGGGAATAATTTCAAGCCTTTAAAAATCCCACTAGCTTGAACCCCACTGTGATCATACAATAAAGTACGGTGGCGTCCAAAAGGGAAGAAAATAGAGCAAAAGAGTCGCCAACAAGTTTTTAAGGAACTTGTAAACCGTTCACGAGGTGAAGGTTACACCCTTAACGATCCAAGAGATCGTCAACTCCATAAGGTCATGAACCAAATAAGGGTTCGGAGATGATGGTACAAATCCAACCTAAAAGAGATTGAACCTGCCCTAATAGGCCTCTACTTTATTCTGCTCGTATTCATGTGCGCTTTCTGACTAACATACAATCAATAGATTTAACACTAAACCTGTTTAATCTATGTTGGTTGAATTTAATGCACAAATAAACTATTATTGGCGATCACTTGAATTATAATCACAATTAACCTAACAAGATTATTAATTATCTTATTAAGCATGATTGCAAGTACCAATTCCCTTTAAGCATGCATAAAGGTGATCAAACAATAATATAAAATATAATACATATCAAGCAACATAATAAATAATCATTATGAATAATAATAATAATAATCATCATAATAATAATAATAGTAATCATGAATAAAAATAATCATTATCAAAATAATAATAATAATATTCATAAATTATTATAACAATTATAATCATAATCATGTTCATGTTAATATTAAGGCATAATAAACATAGCAAGATCCTAGGCATGATACTAACAAGATTAATAACAAACCCTAGCATGTCACTAAGCAATAAAAATCAAATCTTTAGCCCTAACATGATACTAACAATCATAAATATTAGGAAGAGAATCAAAGGCATCATAGCACTCATATTTGATATTAAAATTAACCTAGACATGATACTAGGAATATCAAAATAACAATATAAACATGATTTCTACATCATGAAATCAATTAAACCATTAAAGTACTTACTTGGATGCCTCGTACCTCTTTCTAATTACAAAATACACATGTTAGTAACTTCAAGGAAAATAAATAATCAAAACAATTAAATTAAATAATTGAAAGAGAGATTTGGGACCAAACCCTCAGAAATTAAAACCTTTCACGTCTAGGGCGAAGGCAACTTCGAATATGGCTAGGT